ATTTGAAGTTTAATCGTCGTGGTTTAAAAATCCCATAGATGGTCTCTGTGTTTTCAAAACGTTTGATGATTGGTCCTTATTGCTAACTCCGTTAACTTTTGTCCGTTAATTGAGGGGCATTTTCATCATTCCACACCATAGGGACCATTTATGATTTTTTCAGTTATTTTTTTAAAAATAAAAGATAAAACTAAATATAATTAAAAAAATAGTTTAATACTTATTTAATAGTTTTTATAATTAAAAAAATAAAAAAGCCTTTCTCTCTCTCTCTCTCTCTCTCTCTCTCTCTCTCTCTCTCTCTCTCTCTCTCTCTCTCTCTCTCTCTGCCCCCTCCGCTTTCTTCATTTACGACCAAGAACTCCCTACCGGAGGTGGAGCTGTTCTTCCGGCCACCAAGACATTTACGGTTACTTACTGCGACTGCTTGACACCGCCTATTCTGACAATTCTCACAGTCGCACTCCACCATCATCCATCGTTGTTGTTGTTCCCCTTCCTTCTCGTCAATTCAAGTCAGACTCCAAAAACTGAGGTAGTAAAGCAATCGGAGGCAGCTCGCCACCCGACTACACCGATTGCTTTCCCTTTTTACTCTCGTTATGTACTGTCGGACGGGAATCCAATTCCCTTTTCTATTCAGACAATTTGGAACCAAACAAATAGGAATCCAACTCCATTTCCTATTCAAATCAATTCAAAAATCCCTAAATCACATTCATAGCTTTTGATTTTGAGTTCTTTGTTGTTTTTAGAAATTTGCAGCTTCTTATTATTCAGGTGTAAGTGGTGGTGGATGATTATGTCGTGGTGGAGAGATGCAACGCTTGTGAAGAAATGTAGGGGTTATGTAGAAAGTGGGTGATTCCAAAAACAACGGTAACACCTCCTCCTCTCAATTCGATCGTCGGCAACAACTTTAACAAGAAATCTTCCTGCATCTAATATCTATTACTTCTAGATCTACACAGTGAACTCGCCGGAGAAGCATTGCTCTTTTGGAAAAGCGACTCACAATTCCGACTCTCGTATCCCAACCGATTTCGAAGAAGCATTTCATTTGCTTCCATTTAAAGGAGACCATAGACGATTTTTAGGGGTTTATTGAGATTCTTTTGGTTTTGAGTAAGAATTTTGTGAACCAGAGGGATAGGAGGAAGAGAGATTTGGAGGATGAATCGGAAGCCTCCTTATGGATCTATGAGTTTATGTGTTTGGAGAGAGAGAGAGGGGGAGAGAGAGAGAGAGATTTTATATATTAAATAATTATATTTAGTTTCTTCTTTTTTAAAAAAAATAACTAAAAAGATCATAAATGGTCCCTGTGGTGTGAAATGACGAAAATGCCCCTCAATTAATGGACAAAAGTTAACGGAGTTAGCAATAAGGACCAATCGTCAAAAGTTTTTGAAAACACATGGACCATCTATGAGGTTTTTAAACCATGGAGATTAATTTCAGATATTGGGTAACCATAAGGTCCATTTATGATGTTTTCTGTATATATATATATATATATATATATATATATATATATATATATATATATATATATATATATATATATATATATATATATATAGTAATAAGGGTTGAAAGTAATTTTTTAGAATATAAAAGGATATAAATTGAAAAAATGTTTTAACTAAAAGGGGGAAAGATGTAAAAGTTATTTAATATTTTGATCAAAGGATAAAATTTCGGGTAATAACCAAAAATATTAGGTGGTTTGAAGAAAATAACCAAGGAAAAACACATTTCAGAAAATGACTAAAGGATCCGCAAAGCACTCTATGCGGATCCATTAAGTCCTCTGCGGATGTTGCTACACATCTGCGGAATGTTGTTTTTTTTTTTTTTTTCATTTTTTTTGCCTTAATTTTAATTTATTAATATTAATTTTTTTTAAATACACTAATACATTATGTGATTATTTTGTAAAAAATTTGACAAAAAAGTTTTTTTTTTTTTGCGTTAATTTTAGTTTATTAATATTAATTTTTTTAAATACACTAATACAAACCAAATACATATAAATAATATAATACAAACCGGTGCATATAGTTTATAAATATTTTTTTGACACATCACTTAGCCATGTAAGGATCAATGTACACCTTTGCAGAGCAGTACACACCTCTAAGGATCAGTGTACAACTCTACGGATCTCTGTACACCTCTGTGGATCAATGCACATCTCTAAGGATCAGTGTACAGCTCTGCGGATCTGTGCACATCTCTGCGGATCTGTGTACACCGCTGCAGATCAGTGCACACCTCTAAGGATCAATGTGCACCTACACCTTTGCAGATCAGTTATAGAAGTTATAAACATATTGAAGTGGTTATTTGTGAGTTTGTGAGTTCCAATTAAAAATAAAAGTTGTTTTTTCATTGATATTGTGGAGAGTGATTTGTAAAATGAGTTTTATTATTTTGTGTACGGGAGGGTTGTGGCAGTTAGTTAATGGAGTTGAGGTTTACATTAGAAATAATGTGAAAAACTATGGTTTAAATCTTCCTCCTAAAATTAACATGAAATGTTATTACAAATGGTTAGAAGTAAGGCGGGTGTGTTAAATAGTCATATATGGTTGTCTTTTAAACACCCAGAGTTAGGGTATGTCAGGGAGCTTGGAGATGAAACTGATGTATTTCAACTGAGACATGTAATGTCTGAATCAAAGAAGATGGTGCATTTGTATTTAACGGTGGTAGGTGAAGAAGCTGACGAACAAGTAGTGGTTAACAACCAGTTTAATCCAACAAAAACTAATAGAGGTCGTAGAGAAAGCCAATGTGATAGAAACCGTTCAAGGGGAAAAGGAAATGAAGTACCAATGTGATATGAAAGAAAAATTCGGTTATTGATTATGACTTTTGTATAAGATAATGATAAATAACCAAAAGTGGGCATGACTGAATTACAATGTGAAAATTTGTTCGAGTTTGCAGAAGTTCCTGAAATTGATGATCGAAGATGTAAAGAAAAATCAAATGAAGGGTGGTCGGATGATGAGTACACACAACGAAAAATTGCTTTTAATCCATGGTATTGTATTCCTTCTATTCCTGATTATCTAGAACCTATTCTTGAACCTGGACCATTTCACAGTTTAGTTCCGAATGATAAATTAATTGTCAATCAAACCTATAACACCAAAAAAGAGCTAGCATTTGCTGTTAAATTCAAAGTCGTTAGAGAAAAGTTCTAGATAAAGGTCGAAAAATCTTCAAAATCACGGTACCAGGTTGTTTGTATGCAAGAAAATTGTCATTGGCGTTTATACACATGTATCATTAAAGGAACATAAATGTTTGAAATTAAGACGTATATTGACGACCATACATGTTCTTCACTACTTATACACCCAAATCATAGGCAAACAAATAGCAAAGTTGTGGGAACCATAATACATAACATTATGGGTCAAGGAAGTTTGAAAGGTTGGAAGTCTAATGATATAATTAGAGATATGAATGCTTTGCTACAAATAAATATGAGTTATTCACAAGCGTGACATGCTAGAGAATTTGCTTTGGGATTGATGATGGGGACCCCCAAAGAAACTTTCTCCAAACTTCCAATTTATTTTCACAATCTTAAGAAACATAATCCTGGTACTGTGGCGTACATAAAAACTGATTCGGAGGATCGTTTTGAGTATTGCTTTTTCACTATTGGATGTGTGATAATATATTTTTAGATATATTTGTTATTTTCTTAAATGTTTATAAAAAAAAATATATTGTTGATATATTAATGGTTTTTATATTGTTGTTGCAGATACGTGATTTCAGAGAGTGTTGTAGAAAATTTATTATTATGGATGGTGCTTATTTGAAGGGAAAGTACAAAGGCACCATCTTGCATGCAATAGCAATGGATCTTGCCTATTGAGTATGGAATTTGACCAAAAGAGACTACAGATTCTTGGACATGGTTTCTTGAAAAACTACATGAATGCATTGGTGATGTGGAAGGTCTGACAATGGTCACAAATAGAGCACCCACGATTGTTGTAAGTATTCAAAATGTTTTTCCAAATGCTCAACATGGATTGTGTGGTTTTCATCTAATAGGAAACATAGTCCACACCTTTGGAAAAAAAACAAAAAAAAATAGCAATTTTGTTTTGGAAGCTGGTAAGAGCTTACAAAACCATTGAGTTTGAATTCTATTGGGGGAGACTTCGTAATATAAGAGATGATGTAGCGACATATCTCAGTCAAATTCCACGTGATAAATGGACCAAAGTGTATTGCCCTACCACAAGGTATGATTATATGACCTCAAATAGTGTGGAGTCCATGAATGTTGTATCAAATAAAGCAAGGAAGTTGCCTATATTACCACTTCTTGAGTTCTTTCGCACAATTATGCAAAAATGGTTTTACAAACGGCGGATGGCTGCAAGTATGATTATGTTTAATTTTAAATGATATGATAAATGTCATATATAATAATATATGTTTGTTTTAACAGAAAAAAGTACAACAATACTTACGAAGTGGGCTGGAGATATGGTTAAAAAAATAAAGAGGGGACTCAAGGATGGTCGGTATCCGGTGTTGACAATATAACATATCAAGTGCATGACTTCAAAAGCGGCGGCATAGTGAATTTGAGGGAAAAAACTTGTTCTTGCAGATATTTGCAACTAACTGGTTTGCCATGTGGTCATCTGATAATGGTTTTAACGCACTTGAAAAATGATCATTGTGGGATATGGCTATAGATGCTTATAAAATTGAAACATATCGAAGAACATACGAGCAGGCCGTATACCCTCTTTTAGAACTTAGTGACTGGGAGGTCCCGGATGACCTTATGGTTGTTAAGCCTCCTGTGATGGAAATACGTCAATCCGGTAGACCAAAAAACACCAATCGTATTCCATATCAAGGTGAGGAACCAAAAATAAGGTGTACTAGATGCCATAGCACAACTCATAATGCAAGAATGCGTAAGGAAATCGTTCCAAAGAACTAAAGTAAAACTATAAAACGTACTGGGGATTCAGGTAGTTGGACAAAAGCGACAGAAGAGGAACCCACGCAAGCGATCGAAAACCAATAGCATCACGAGCCAGAGAACCAATGGACACAACATACCGAACAACAATGGTAGCAGCAACCAGACAACCAATGGACAAAGCAGACCGAACATCAATGGCAACAACATCCAGACAACCAATGGACACAACAAACTAAACATGGATGGCAACAGGAGTCACATAACCAATAAGCGCAAGAGACCGAATACCAACTGCTGGAAGAGCCATAAAACCAATGGTAGGGTTGCATAGAGTACCAATGGCAGCAAGAGCAAGATAACCAGTGGATGCAAGAGACAGTAAACCTAGGGACACATGCAACGGATAACCCATGGACTGAATACGAAAACAGATCAAAGTTTCCATGGTTCGATTTGAATGAATGAAGTTTATTTCAAAGTATGTTTATTATGAAGGTTGTATGTTTATGTTTTCTAAGGTATGTTTTGTAACCTATAAAAAACATGGAATATTTGTATAATTTTAATTAAGTTATTTATATGCACCGGTTTGTTTACATTATTTATATGTATTCCGTTTGTATTAGTGTATTTAAAAAATATATATATTAATAAACTAAAATTAACGCAAAAAAACAAAAAAAAAGAACATTTTTTTTTGTTTTATATAATAATCACATAATGTATTAGTGTATTTAATATATATATATATATATATATATATATATATATAAACTAAAATTAACGCAAAAAAATTAAAAAAATTAAAAAAACAACATTCCGCAGAGGTGTAACAACATCCGCAGAGGACTTACCAGATCCGCAGAGGGTGCTCTACGGATCCTTTGGTCATTTTCTGAAATGTGTTTTTCCTTGGTTATTTTCTTCAAACCACCTATTGTTTTTTGTTATTATCCGAATTTTCTCTTGTTTCCATTATAAATAAAAATATGCCCGTGTAATTATTAGCTCAAGTCCCATCAATTAGGGTTATTTAACCCAAGTCAAGGTCGTATTGACTTTCTAAAATGGTTTTGGGTCTTTACATCGGGTGTCTTTAACAACATCCATTTTGAAAACCAAATTTCCATCTAATTGAAAAGTTAAATGATCAAAGAAACTACCTCTTCCCTTCCTAGCTACAGTCGTCTTCCGCAAAGGAGCACCACCCAGACGAAATTAAACATCACCTTCTTCCTCCTGACCGTTGTAACTCCTGGTGTACACCACAATTAACCACGACCATGGCCGATCACGAACCACAGGGGTGGTGTTCACGATCCGTGGTCGTTGTCACCTAGGCCACGACATGGCTCGTTGCCGGTGCTCCAGACAGTCTAACCCTTTTTATTGATTTATTCTCTTTTCTACGGAGGGATAGACTTTGTAACCACCAGCTAGCCGCAGTAGAGTAAAGTATGTTTAAAGAAGCTACGAAAAATGTTTCTCGAAGGTACCTTTTATCAATTTGACTCCCTCGTGTTTATTTGTGGTAATTTCATTGATTTTCATTTTCTCGTCTGGTTTATGATCAGTTAATTATATGGTTTCATATTAATATGTATTTACAGATTAGGGTTTATCACATCCATAGGACTAAGTTTGTTTTTCCTGTATTTATAAAACCGATCATGTGTTTGTTTCTTTGATCATTTCAGAATTGGTATGGTGTTCTTTGCAATTAATAGTTATCTTGTTGTTGACACTTGATGTAACACGCCTAACCCAGCAACACCAAGAAAGGAAAAGAAAACCTCAAATTAAGGAAGGGACTCGTCGAGTAGATGGAGTGACTCGACGAGTAAGAGCGTGGATAGTGTCACGAGTTAAGTGACCTACTCGATGAGTCAGAGGATTGACTCGGCGAGTTGGTCAGGTTTTGGGAAAACCCTAAATGTGGGCCTTGTACCCTATTTAAGGAACATTATAGCCTCTCTTCAGCCTCCATGATACTCTCTCAAGTCTAGAATGAAACCCTAGTGCCTTCCATGTGTTGTAAACCATTTTTGAGGGTTCGTAAGTGTTCTTGAAGCTTTGAAGAAGAAGAAGGAGTTGGAGGGTTCAAGGAGGTGTTGTAGATCCAGAAATCTCATCTCATCCTCATCATTTTCTGGTAATCAAGTTCTCATATTGACCTTTGCTTTGATTGATCTATTCTTTTTCATTTTTGGGGGTGTTTGGTCTAAGAACCCTAGCATGTGAGGAATGGACATCCCAAAGGAATATGTCTTCAGATCTAGAACCATTGCAGGTTGTTATGGCATAAAGGTGCAAGCTTTATGTCTTAGGAGACCCGATTCAAGCTTATGGGATGTTGTTTTGGCCTTTCTAGCCCAAAAGGCCCATGTATGGAGGAAAAAGGCAGGATCTTTGCATGGTTGTGAGGTGGTTGGGTACAGATCTGTCTATGGGTGCTTGAGTTTGGGGTATGGTGGCTTGTGAACCAAGATCTATTTCCTTAAGAGTTAGGGTTTGCATGGAAACCTATTAAGTGGGGGTATTAATGGGTAAAGTTGGAAACTTTACCCTCAAGAGGTCATTTCTAGTTAGTATTCAGAGTTTTAGTCTTGGATCTGGAATGGAAGGGCTTAATCCATTAAGTTAGCCCAACAGACAGAGGAACTCGGTGAGTCCAGGGAGAACTCGACAAGTTGGAGTGGGTTGTCCCGAGTTGAGTCGCGTTAGAACTCGGCGAGTCAGAGAATGACCCGATGAGTTGACTCAGTTAATCACGAGTTGGATCAGTCAGGAAACTCGACGAGTTGGTTCGCGATTTTAGGATTTTGAGCTTGAGAACTCAGCGAGTTGATGAAGCTACTCAGCGAGTCCAGTAACCTGAAAGTGTTGACTTTGATTGTGGCCGTTGACTTTGACTTTAACCAGAGTTTGACTTAGTTTGACTTTTGGAGGATATTTTGGGACTAAGTGTTGTTATTGGTATTGGAAGCTCGGGGAGCTGTCGGATAGGAGCCAAAGGGTTATCAGCAGAGTTCAACAGTGTAGGTGAGTTTTCCCTTTGTGTGAATGGGTCTACGGCCACAATGCCGACCCATGTAGTTATGAGTAGGAAAACCCGGGGGTTAGCCCTAAGCACTGTATGCTAGTATGATATTCAGGACCAAGGTCCAATGTCAGCGGGCGGGTGCCCAAGAAAAGGTTTACATGACATTTTATACTTGTTGTCTGTGTGATACATGTATGTGCTTGGTATGGAGGTGAGTGTGGGCAAGGTCTAGTATCTTACCGATAGCAAAGTATGGATGGTGTTCCATGTCTCATTAGCAGTTGAGCATGGGCGAGACCCAAGGTAGGAAGGGAGTGAGTGTGTGTTGGGCCCGTATCTCACTATTAATAGGAGCGTGGGCGGGGTTCCATGACTCATCAGTAACAGGACAGGGGCGGGGCCCAATATAGGCGAGGCCTTAGAACAGGAATCTAGTAGTATATGTTCAGTTTAAGTGTTATGATATGATTGTATGATAGTATACGTTAGCGGGCGGGGCCCAGAGACAGGCGAGGCCTAAGAGAAACAGATTTGTATCCGAGCGGGAGTCGAAGCCAGGCGGCGCCTGGAGCGGCGGGGTCGTTATAGCGGACGAGGCCCGAGGTAGCGGGCATGGCCCAATATTTGTAGTAGGTGATTATGCAGGGTATATGGTAGGTTGGGTAACTCACTAAGTTTCGTGCTTACAATTTTCAGTTTTGGTTTTAGGTACTTCTGGTAGCAGAGGGAAGAGCTTGGGTTGATCGCATGACACACACCATAGTTAGCCAGCCTGGGATGTTTTACTCTGATAATGGAAATATGTTTTGGAATTAACACTCTGATTTATGATATGATTTTATTTATGGTTTGACAATGATGTTTTAAGTAATGTTTTTAAAAAGAAATTTTTAGTCGTGATTTTTGGGTCGTTACACTTGACATTGATGTAACACTAATTTTTAACGTTATTGGTTATAAATGTTATTATGCATATGTTAATATTGCTTCATGTGATCTACGTTGATAATATTGTTCTGTTTATTTAAGGTTGTTGTATGTTTGTATTTTATTTTTCTTTCTTTCCTTTTTTAACATTGAACTAGGGCTTGTTTAAATCTGATAATTATGGCAGAGGAAGAAAATCAAATTAAGATGAAGGATGAAGCGGCAGATGTAAGCATATATTGATGTATCCTTCTTTATTTGTTTAGGTCTGTGTTTGATTGTATTATGAAGAACTACCGAGTTATATTGTCTTCGTGTCTATCTCTGGTTGATATGTTTTGATGTTTTGCTTTGTTAAATAAATAATGCATTTGTTAGGCATAAATGTTGGAAGACATATGATTTGAACAGTATGGTATGTAGTAGCATTACATTACAAATTACTTGGTGGATGCACCTCCTCTTATTTCACTCTATACATAGTAGTTTTATAAAACCAACAGTCTGGCTTATTAAATAAAACAGACTTTCTAGTTCTAGTATAATAGGAGGGCCAAAAGGGCAAAAACGGAAAATGTTGATGCAGTTGCAATCACAGAGCCACTAGCACTAGTCAAACTTGTCCCATTAAAACCTTGAGTGCACCCAATGTTGATGGTGTCATTTAGGTTGTTAATAGTGGCTTTGTTTCGAAACACGTAATTTTGTTTAACGTACTTGACACATTTAAGAAGTAGTTGAGTGTGTTGTGCACAACCTCCTTCACAAAATGCTTGCGTCTCATTTGCACTTATGTTCAACCATCCGCCTACATGGAGTGTGAACTTTCCCGGGCAATCTGAAGATACCTGCACAACCACCAATTATGTCCTTTACTTTTTATTAGATATAATACTGGTTATGACTTAATGACATTATTAATGGGTTAGGCTTTTAACATGAAGATGGATGTTGTTTCTTTTTTACTTAATATCGACATAATGACTTGATGGGTTAAGCCAAAAAACATGACTTAAATACAATAAGCAAGTATCTATTTGCCATTCCTTTTTCTTCCCAACTCCAACGTTAAAATTTATAAATGTTGTGAATTGGTTTTTTAGAGTGTAAAGGTAAAATGGTAATTTAGTCTGGTTCAAATGGATCATTAATTAAAAAAACAGTGGTCTTGTGTATACAATAGTTTATCTATATTAGACATCATTATCCATACGGCCGTTTTATATTTACATACAACAAAATTAATTTTTTGTAATGTAAGGTTAAAATGTACATTTGGTATAATTCAAATGGTTTGTTCATTTAAAAAATGGCGTTTTCCTTGCAATATTTTTTCTCGATTTGATATCACTATCTGAACCTGTTTTACATATACAAAACTTAAAAAGAAATAAAGAAAAAAAACACCACATTATTTATTTGACTTGGGTTGTATTTTATCTTTATCTAAGCAAAATGAATATAATTAAAAATTT